TGGGAAGGGATGGGAAGGGGAAACAAAGGAGGAGGCTACAATGCTTGATAAGAAATGTACTCATCATCTTCCCCATGTAATTGTAACCCCTCTGATTGCACACTGCATTATGGCATTGTATGAGACCATAGTCTTGGTGGTCTAGGCAAAGTGAAAATGAACTTTTATTATTGGTGTTTATCCCACCCCTCCCTCCTGATTTCACTTTGCCTCTGGCCTCAGGGACTCAATGAGAAAAAGAAGAGAAAAACTACTCATTGTCCATGGGTCAGTTATAATTAAGTATAAGTATTACAGGCTTACCCTGTTCAACATGACCTCCAAGCCCACACTACGGCTGCCTCCATACCTTGGGGAATCTGGATTTAACCAGATGAGAAAGGCATAGATAAGGCAGTTCAGTTCTCTACTGCAATAGCTGGTGTTGGACTCTAAAATGAGATTACACCCCCTTGAAGAATTTGGAAAAAAATCAACACACCACCTTGGTTATGAATCCAAAAACTTGGCTGAATGCTTACGTTTCTGAAGTGAATGATTTGGGGTTTCAGTACAAGATTGACATAAGAGCCAGAAATTTTATTTCAGAATTGTCAGGTGTACTGTCAAACTACTGGGATGGTATATTGACTATATATTTTCCTACTAATCAGATTAAGAACAAATGAGGTCTTTAATCATAGCTTTTATAGAAGGATAGTGATCCAGTGGTCTCCTAGAATACTCATTCTGTAAATCACATGTGACATCCAGCCTAGCTTCTGGGAGGAGGGTGGCACCTCCTTATAAGGTTACACAAGATCATCCACCCTTTGATAAGAGTGGTGAATAGATTCCTCTCTCTCTTGAAAATCTAAACTGATGATGCTGTAACATCCCAGTGTTGGGCTTGGGATTTGGTAGCTGGCAATAAGGTGCTTTAACATTGGACCTTAGAGGAAACACACAACCACAGAAAAGCCAACTGGAGTGTAGGAATGAAACAGAAGTTCAGGAAGAACAGATAAAGGATCAGGTAACAGGAAGAACAGATAAAGGGTCGGGTAACCGAAAGATCACTGAGAGAGTGATCTTGGTCCTTTCATGTTGGATTCCTAGTTCTGAGTGTTCATGTCCCAGGATGCTATGCCTTTCCTTTAAATTGCCACCACAAACCTTAACCTTCAGCCACTATGAGTGGGTACTTCAAGTGGACTTTTATTCTGTGAATTTTTCACATATGACTAAAACACACAGCTAAGTGTATTATTCATGTACTAGCTTGGTTGTGATTTTGGTTGTGTTTTAGCTGCAAAATTTAGTTTCTAACTAGTGGTAACAAGTTAAACTCATGACCAACAAAAGGACAAGCTAATTATACCCTTTGAAAGGTGCTTTGGCTCTTCATATTTTAACACCATCTAGCCATCAACAGTTATATCCAGGAATTGCAACCTGTCAACCCCAACTCTTTCTCATCTCAGTTCACTGGAATTTTCTAGAAAGCTTTCTAAAACCAACAATTTCTGAATCCTTCTCTCAGAGATTCTGATTTATTTTGTCTGAAGTTATGCACAGGCATCATATTTTAAATCCCTAAATCCAGGATTGAGATTATTCATCAAAGCAGTCATATACCCTCCCACCCATATTAGTGCACTCCAGTTTGAAATAGGTACAATAAAAGAAAATTGGCAACAACCTAGCTTAAAGCTACTTGGTGTAATTTCAGGTTAGCCCACTAACCTGAAAGAGCCCCTCTGAAGACATTTTGTTTTCCACATTCACACAGAATTTCCTTTCTGTACCATGATGAAGGCTGAAATTTGGTTCTCTCTTGGCCCTGATGAACTCAATAGCCCTAAACACTGGTCCTTGATTTCATATACAGCCACTTTTGTGCCCTCTCCTGGCTTAGATTTTTGCCAAGCAATTCTGTTTTTACAAAATCAGAGCAGTCAAACTCCTTAGACCCTTATACTAAGTTGGAAAAACTTAGAGAGCTCTCTTTCTGGACATTTACACGTGTACATATACATACACATACACACAATCCTTTTCTTTGATTCTCAGAGACAAGCATTACAATTCTCTTTTGGGAAGTCTAGGTCAATCTGGTGGTTCACAGATCCTTGTGCTGGCAGGTCAGGAAGACAGCAGGTGCTTGGTGAGATGAATGAAGCTATTTATTGAGAAAGATTGTTCTGAAAAGAAGTAGAAATCATAAGAGAGCACTGAATCCTTTACATTGTCCAGATTCAGGGTTTTAAAGGATAATCTTTTAGGACACGTGCATAGGTGCATTCTATCCAAAGTGTCTCCTTTTGTTATGTTTCCATCTGTCCCTACGGTTTCCTCTCATCCTCAGCCATCAACGATATGTCATAACGTAAGGTGCTTACTTCCTTAGCATGGCCAAACACACCAGGGATGTTTGTTCTTATTTCACTCCAGGTAAGCAGTCTGCACTCTAAAGGGATGTTGTCCTTTGAGGTCAACATCACCTAATGTCCTCACCAAATTTACACAAGAAGCAGAGTCCCAATGTTAATATCACATACCACAGCATGCAGAACATTGTAGGACAGTTGGGAGTTTGGGTTTAATTCAGTTGGTGAACAAGGTTTTTTTTCTTGTTTTTGTTATTATTGTTGGTATTTTTTGTCTTTATAGGTTTTTTTGGGGAGGGTGGGGGAGCAAAAGCAAGGCACAGAAATGGAGGGAGAAAAGGTGAACAAATACAGTCATGGTATTCAATATGCACTATGTAAAAAAAAATGACCTATGCAACTTTTGGGCAGGGATGGGAGTGGGAAACTGGAGAAAAGTAGAGGAAGCAGTAACATTGTCCAAGAACAGAACTCATTACATGACTCATGGAATTGTAACCCCTCTGTACAACTCCTTAATAATAACAATAGAACTATATTTAAAAACACATCAGGAAAACTTACAGCATTTAAGATCATGGGTGTTTTTCATAAGAAATAAAAATAACAGCTGCATTTTATGGAGAAATATATAATATTATCATTTAGGTTACTGACTCTACTGAGTATGAAAATGAGAAAGTTGGTTCCACTGGTATATTGACAAAGAAACATGAAGCAGTCTTTTGATCTGCCTTGCCCTACACTTTCAAAGTAATGACACTCACTCAGTGGTTCATACCCATTATCTAATTTTATTCCTTGAAACAATCTTACGGAGTTAGGGGTTATTATCTTTGCTGCAGGGACAGCTGAGGTTCAGAGAGGTGAGTGAGTTGTCCAAGGGTACCCAGGGCATTGTAGGAGACCTGACTTTAGACTGAGTTCATTTCATTCAGTGTGCCATATTTATCAAGAGCTGCTGGGATATTAGGAGCATAGCAAGAGAGAACAGGAAGTACCCTTCCCTTCTTCTTCTGAAGCTTGGCCCCTGTGATTCCCAGGTGCAGGTCTGCTCTTTCTTTCTGCCTGGGCCATGAGGATGGTGGGAGGGTGGCGATGAGCCATATAAAAAAGGAGAGCATTACCAAGAGAGCACTACCCCACTCTGTGGGACCGATGCTTCCTCCTCTCTCAGTCTTGAATCTCTGCTTCCCTGATTACCTGAATGACAGGTGAGCAGAGGCTTGGTGATGAGCCTTCTCCTAGAATGGAGGCTCCCCTATTCCACCTTACCCTAGTGTTTCTGCTTAGAATGAGAAGAAAAGCTGCCCTTAGACTACAAGGCACAATTAAGCCAGTCTTGGTTACTCCCAGCTGTTCACTTCGACAGACTCATTGTGTACAAGATGTTGACACTCTTATGAGGAAGACAACGTAACATTGATCAATGTGTGTGACTATGTAAACTCAAATGAGTTTTACTTTGGAAAGATGGATCCAAAATGATAGAAGTTGAATTTTATAACATCAATAAGACTATAAGAAGCATTTTCTAGATGAACTGTTTATTGTAAGCTGTTTATTGCAAGATGCTTTAAAAATGTGTTGTTAACATAAAAGAGAATTTTGAAAGAAATTCATTTCCCAATATGCCGATCAGCTAGCCAGGATTGCTAACCAGACAGCAAATCTTTGTGACAACAAGCCAGTCCCAGTTAATATTTCCATTAATGTGATCTGGCACAGAGATGGTGCCAAATAAATGCTTGCTGAATAGATATTTCCAGAATTATCCACATGTGTATGTATTTTATATGAGTATATTACAAAATATGCGATGCATTATGCATATAGTATGCTGTATGTATATCTCTATAAGTATTATTTCTATACATGTACATCTTAAGACATAAAGGCTATGTTGTCAATGTTTTCTGTGTTGCACTGTAGTTATGTTTTCTTTTGCCTTGTCATCCATTTATTCAATAAACATTTACTGAGCACTGACTGTATGCTCCACTATGTTCTAGAAAATGAAGATGCCAAACTACATACCTGTCCTGAGAGACAAGTAAAGAGATTCTGTGAGAACAGCATGATACATGCTGAGACCTGATCTTAGGGGTTATGGTGATATTCAGGATATTCACTCTACTTGGAGGAATCAAAGGGCTTTTCAGGAGAGGTAGCACCAAGCTGAATCTTGAAGGAATGAGTAACGGTCACCTAGATAAGGAAGCCAGGGAAGTATTCCAGGCAGGAGAAGCTGCATGCCAAAAAGTGTCAAGTCCAGGGAGCCTGACAGAGACAAGCTACCTGACAGGGTAGTTACCCCTGGCTGGCAACTGCAGCAAAAGGGTCATATCAGAGGTAAACAGGCAAAGTCATGAAGGGTCTCCTGTGCCAGGGCTGGAAGGTTATCAGGGTGTTGGTATCAGAATTTTATTTGGGTCCCAATAACAATTGGAGAATGACTCACCAACAACTGTCTGGATGGGGAATGGATCAGAGAAAGTCAAGAGTAGAGTCAGGCAAATCTGTTAGGAAGTTGTCACAATGGTCTATTCTATAGCAGTGCTATGAAGGCTTCGTGGATGGTAGTGGTAGTAGGGACTGGAGTAGTTCATGGATCCTTCAGAGATTTTGGACATTATATTAACTAAATCAATTCTAGTTGCTAGAAGGGTAGCTCTTAAACTCTTAGTGTCATGAATTATCAAAGGATTATTTCTTTTTTTTTTTTTCTTTTTGGGTCTGGTCATAGGCCTGAACTCTGGGCCTGGGCGCTGTCCCTCAGCTCTTCAGCTCAAGGCTAGCGCTCTACCACTTGAGCCACAGTGTCATTTCTGGCTTTTTTCCTTTTTGCTTATGTGGTGCTGGGGAATCGAACCCAGGGCCTCAGGGATGCAAGGCAAGTGCTCTACCACTGAGCCACCTTCCCAGCCCCCAAAGGATTATTTCTTACAAGTCATTCAAACCAGGCCTTTCTACCTGGCAAGCAGCCCTTCAATGGCCTGCACAGGGGGACCAGTTCCCTCCTTCTATCTGGTAGCCTTATTTTCCAGGGATACTCCACACTGCCAGCATTTCGCCATACTGGAAATTTAGGAGTAAATTTCACTTGGAACCTTTACAGGTGTTTTTGGCTGTAAGGAAATAAAGATAAAAGGAGATAAACCAAAGGACAAATGCCAGTTTTCAGCTGTTAGAAGGACAGGGTTGAGGGAAAATCAAAATGGTTAACAGTTATTGAATTTGAGGAGAAACATCTAGGTGGAAGTATCCCATAGGATGGGGATTCAGGAGTCATCTGGAGCTCAGCAGAGCCTAGACTGGAAAAAGATTAGGGTATCATCATCATCATCATTATCATCATCATCGTTATGGTGGCCATCATCTAGGTATCATATGGTGTGGGTGCCATTATTACCTCCACTTTATAGAAAACTGATGTTGAAGAGGTGGAATAATTCTGCCACATGTTTGGGAAGTGAGAAAGACAGAGTCTTAACTCTATTGATCTAGTTCCAACTAAAGGAAATTGGTAAAAAAAAAAAAAAAAGAGTAAAGAGGGTCAGTTACAGTCCCTTCGGGGAACAGAATCATTGCAGGATGGAGGGAGAAAAGGGGAGCCCCAAAGAAAGTTGAGAAGAGTAGCTATTATGACAGGCCTTAACTGGAAACCCCACCTCAGTCACAGAGGAAAGAACAGGGGTGTAGATATCAGAGAGACAAGGTCTCAGGAGAGGGAGAGTCAATTTATATGCTGAAAGGGCCAATGAGGCAAGCTCAAGAAAAGAAAGGTGTTCTGTGAGCTTAGCAATCAAAATGTAATAGGTGACTGCTGAAGCCCAGAAGGGATGGGCATCCAGGTGAAAGTGGGTGAGCTGTTAACTAGAGCTGTCTATAAGGAAAAGGTTACGTTGAAGGAGTGAGCACATAGGACAGCAGTTAGACAGAAGGGTGGGTTTAAGAATGAGCTTTTCCCTTTTTTTTTTTAGTCAGTCCTGGGCCTTGAGCTGAAGTCCTGGGCACTGTCCCTGAGCTTCTTTTGCTCAAGGCTAGCACTCTACTACTTGAGCCACAGAACTACTTCTGGCCTTTTTCTGTGTATGTGGTGGTACTGAGAAATCAAACCCAGGGCTTCTAGCATGCTAGGCAAACACTCTACCACTAAGCCCAAGAATGAGCTTTTCCTTAAAAATGGAACTAATAAGAATAGGAAACTCCTGGTCTCAAGGAAAAGAAAGGAGTCGGTGAACAAAGATAGCATCTGGAAGACAGGTGACACAAAATATATGAGGAAGGAAAGACCACAATGTAGATGGGGATCACACATAACAAGTTTAAGCAAGGGACCCAGAAACTGAAGTGTTGCCTTTTCTCCCTTGTACAATTAAGGAACAAAAGTATCAAATAGTAAAGTGGGGAGATGAAGGGTGTTTAATAATGATTTGATGCCTAACAATATTACACAATGAAATATTTAATTCACCATCCAGCTACTGGGAGACGTTTTTCAATTATTTATGTTTGCTATCAGAGATAACCCTACAAAAATTACTTTCATGCACATGATTATTTTTATTTCATATGATTATATTACCATGAAAATTGTCAGCAAAGGGTATAAGCATTTTCCTAGCTCTTGAAATAAGCTGTCAAATTGCTTTTCAAGATGATGGCAGTCATTTACAATGTCAATAGCACTCTGAGTATAACAGTTTCTCTGCAGCTCTTGTAGTATTGGGTTACTTTGCCATATTCTTTTAATGCCAAGGGGCTTAAGTGGTATCTTCTTAAAGATTAAATTTATATTTATTTGATTACCAATGGCATTGAACCTTTTGTAAGGCAGTTTGCATTTCCTTTTGTGGATTATCTACACTTTACCTCGCTCTGTTAGTACTTCATGCTTTTCTTAAAGAGCTGATGAAATGTATTGAGAACATTAATTCTTTGCATGTCAAATGTGAGGGCAGTTTTCCTCATTTTGCTTTTTTAGCTTCAGTTTTGATTATTCAGGTGAATTTCACCCCCCTTTTTAAGTATCATCTTCAAATGGTTGTACAAAAGGGGCTCAACATGTCCATTTATATGTATTATGCCTCGTGATCACTCACCCCTTGCATCACTCTCCTGTCTTTCCATTTATCCCCGTGAACTGTGCTTCTATCAAGAAAGGTTTTAAAGATAATGTATACTTAGAGCCTACCCACAGAAAAACACAAATATAGCTTTAGAGTAGAGGTTTTCCCTATCATTTATTAGAGAAGAGAGAGTAAGGAAACCTGAAGAGATAGAGGTTCTTGGTAGGCGTTGGGCTCTGGAAGGCTGTTGCCCCCATTTTTTGGTCTGTCAGATGGCCCCATTTTTCTGGTGACAATTGACCTAAGAATGGTGTTGGCACATGAAGACTACATAGCCTTTGGGCAGAGTAGGAAGAATATAGCTTTCAAGCGCTGGCACAGAGTTCCGCAAGAAGACTGGGGACGCGGACTAACTGAAAGGGAATGTAATAGACTAGATGATTGGACAGCCCCACTGCATGAGTACAGGTAGAAGACCATCCATGAACAGGTAGCATCTAGGTGAAGTACAATCCTTTGCAAATTTGAGTTTAAACAGAGAAAAATAATTACAAGGAAAAGATGAGGACAGAAGAGTCACATTTATTTAGTCCCTTGCCATGGACCAGGCACAATGTAGGACAATTTACATGCAGGATTATCATTGAATCCACTCATGCTCCAGTGGGACCATTTTTATTATTCTCATTTAACATACAAGGAAACCAACGTTCAAAGGGTTAATAGCATTCACCCTCACTCCCACACCCCAAACACACATCTGTACTAGGGTTGAACTCTGAACCTTACAGTAGGCAAGTATTCTATCATTTGAACCCCAACCCCAACCCTTTTGTTTTTAGTTTTTCAGATGGAGTCTAATACTAACCTGGGTCCTGCATTAGCTAGAAACCATAATCCTATCTCTGCTTCCTGAATAGCTCAGATTATAGGCATGAACCACCATGTTTGGTTTATGCTATTCATTATTAAACAGCTTATAAGAGCTAAAGTTCATTTGGCTCTCAAAAGCTCTTTTTGTGTAAAAAAAAAAAAGTCTCAGCTTTGCAAAAGGGCCTGAGGTGATTTGCTGCAATGTATGGGACAGGCGGGAGGAATATCTGTAGAAAATGGGAAATGGGTTATGGAGAGAGATGCAAGTGCAGTAGAGGAGTTGGGATTTCATGTAAGAGGAAGCATGGATCACAGGGGAATTCTAAGCAGAGTTGATTTGCATAGCTAGATGCTGTAGGGAGACAGCCAGAGAGAGGTAGGCAGAAAGTAAGATATTTTCCTGTGACACACTTGTGGGTACTGAGCAGATAAAGCAGGTTTATTAAATGAGAGCAAACGGGAACTGATCTTTCTGAGCTGCTGCAAAGATAACTCACTGCTCTGGATGCTGATCTGAAATGTAATCCCCTGATCTTTTGAGAAAGATTCTAAATCCTAGGAGAAGTTGTCAGGGGAATAAAGCCCTAAATATCATAACAACAGACTCTATTCAATAAATTTCCCCAAATATCATGAGCTCAGCTCTCCAGTGAGCAGCACTTGAAGGTTGGCTGGAGATGAGAAGTCGGTCAGCAGTGATTTGTGGCCTCCTGGCCCCACTTCCTCCCCCGCCCCTGCATATAGTGGAGTCCCACCAGGGATTCACTCTTTACCTCTGCAAATCTAGGACTATATACATGCCAGGTGTACTTATATATGCCTGGGATCTTGCCCTTTTGCAAATTTCAACTCCTCTCACTTTTTTGGCTAATGTGGAATTGTGTTCCTGACCTCCAAACAGTAATGCATTAAGCAAGAGTTATTTATTCGAATGACTTGTGTACATACTTAGTTTATTAGGTGAAAATGTGGATTCCTTTTGAGCTTGTAAAAACAGATAACTATATACATATACTCGTAAAAAAGATATGTACAAAATGAGAACACGCATGGTGTGAACATACTCTGTTTTGTAAAAGAAATCATACAACACCTGCACATGTATGGACACACACACACATACACGCACACATCCAGCACATCATATCAAAATGTCAACAGTGATTACCTCTATGTGATGGCTATTTTACTCTTCTTAAAAATTTATCAAGGAAACTAATAGCTCTTTTCCAATATCTACTTTCTCTTTTCCCTGTAATAGTAGAATCTCAAATTTTAGTTGGGCACATGACCCTCTAGAATAAATGCCACACTTGTAGTCCTCATTTGCAGCTAGGTATGGTCATGTAACTGCTTCTTATTAGTGAGATATGTGTACCTGTGCCACATCTCACCTTCCAGAAAATTTCCTTGAAAGGAAGAAGCTTGCCTTTCTTTGTCTCTTTTCTGCTTCTTACTGGATGTCAGCATGGTGGCAAAATCGGAAGCCATCACCCTGGATCCTAAAATAGAAGCTGTAGGCTGAAGATGTTGCAGAAAGGAGGAGGAAGTCTGTGTCCCTAATACTTGGGGAGCCACCATTCCAGTCCTAGATAGCCTATATATCCATAAGACAGAAGTATTTTCCTCTTCTGTCTTATTTAAGTCATTGCTATTTTGAGTTTTCTGTCATTTTGGAAGCAAAACTGAATCCCAGGCAACCCATTTATATATTTGTAAAGCTACAAAATACATAGGATTATATTGAGAATTCAAGACCGACTCTTGTACATAGAATTATTTTTCTAGCTGTGAAAATTTTCACTGAAACCACTTGTCTCAAGTTTCAATCATATCTGTTCTAGAACTCCAGTCAAAGTGCATCAAATCAGCACTTCACTCCAAGCTCAGGTGTTTTTTGTAAATTTTTATAGCAAGGACATATTGTCCCATTCTTGGCCCATGGACTGTCTTGATTTTAATTCAAGAGGCATCACAACTGTTCTAGGAATAAGATATTGATTGTGGTTCTGCTGGTGACCTTAGGATATTTGTGGTAGTCTTCTAAGTGACTGGAGACACTTTCATTTAAGAAAAAAATGAAAGTTGAAATGGTCAAGGCAGCTCTTTCTCCTGGCCAAGTGAACAGCTTCCACTAATGTATCAAGACTGCCTGTAGTGCAGCTCTGGGTGGCACTTGCTTGGTGTGGGTATATGGTGCACATGTGTGCTGTGTGGCGTTCTGGGATCTAGAGCACTTACATGTTTTGTGGGCGTGTTTACCTTGTACATTGTAGAGGGGTGTAGGTATAAGGGGATGTGTGTGTGTTTGCATACAAATAATGTGTAGGCATGTGCCCCCAGCATCTATGCATGTGTAGGGACATGTACAAAACAGCAAAGAAACATCTCATAGTATAGATGGCTAAAGGGTGTTGCACTGACATACAAGTCATGCCAGGGAAGAACTCCACCCCAGTTTCACCTCCATGTATCCATTCATTCCTAATACTAACGTAATGTTGACACAGCGCTTGGTTATCTAAACGGTAGGCCAGTATCTGCAATTCAGTTTTAGGTTGGCTTCAAGTCAGCTACTATGTTTGCTTTTGTTGCTCCAAAAGAGTACAAGTCCATTATTTTAAATTATTTTTTTCTAGGCATTTGCTTACACCTCATGGAGAAAATTATCCTGAAACATAAGGAATTCTTGAAAGAACAACAAAAAGGGGGAGAGTATCAGATGAAGAAAAACAGATGCCAATGAAATACAGAACTGACATTATAGCAATTCTCAAATATTGGTGTGAACAATGTTTTCCAGCATCTCACATGTCACCCAGCATGTCCCCGCAAAGAACACACAATCTAGTGGGGGCCCCTACTAGTCAAACTGCTGCGCCCGAGCAGGCCAGGGTTCACAGGGACACTCTAAAAGGGAAAGGGAGTCACTCTGTGAGAGTATTGGAGGATTACATGTCCACACGCTTTGAGATTCCTGACTGCACAGGACTGTGCTGATCTTCTGAGATTTCTTTCACACAGAATACAAAGGTTCCCATAATCTTGAAGGAGCCTGGGAACACCCATACTGTTGTAAATGAGGTCCAGCCTATCCCTAGGTGACGCTGTTATGAATTTGCTTGTGCTACACTGGCCACTTTCAGAGGAAGAAGAGGAGGAGGAAGTGTGCATAGGCAGGCATCTTAAAAAATTCTAGAATCTTCTGGCTGGTTTTGACCACTTGTAGGGATGTTCTCAGACTGCAAACATGAGCCTATTAGCATTCTTATTATGCCTACAACCTAATGAGGAATAGATAATTACTCATTTTAAACTGAGACTCAACAGCCCTTGTCCAAAGGCATGCCGGTTGTAGGTGTCAGTATTGGCATGTGAACCTAGGCAGTTTCATTCCAGAACTCTATTTCCTTCCTTTTTCTCTTTCTTTCCTTCCTTTCTCTTTCCCTTTCCCTTCTCTCTTCTTTTTTCCTTCCTTTCTCTCTTTTCTTTCTTTCCTTCCTTTCCTCCTTCCTTTCTCTCTCCTTCCTTCTTTCCTTCCTTTCTCTCTCCCTTTCTTTCTTTCTTTCCTTCCTTCCTCCCTCCTTTCTTGCTTTCTATTCTTCCTTTCTTTGTTTTTGTTCTTTCTTTCACCTGTCCTGGGGCTTGAGCTCAGGATCTGGGCGCTCCCCTTGAGCTTTTTTTTGTTCAAGGCTGGCACTCTACCACTTGAGTCCACTTCTGGCTTTTTTTGGTAGTTAATTGGAGATGTGTCTCTTGGACTTTCCTGCCCAGGATGGCTTTGAATTGAGACCCCAGATTTCAGCCTCTTAGGTAGCTAGGATTATAAGCATGAGCCAGCAGTGTCTACCTCCTCTGCTTTTTTCCCCCTTCTCCCACTAAAAGCTCACACTGGGTTTTTAGTTCTTCCTCCAGTATAGTGGACATGCCTGCTCCTGACCTAGCATCTTTGCATGCCCACTCTTTCTGCCTGAAGTGCTCTTGTTTGTTTAATGTTTAAAATTATCCTTACGTTATTGTAGAAAGGAGTTGTTGCCATTTAACAAAGTAGTTTATGAATACATCTTGATCAACATTACCCCTGCAACATTCTATCCTTCCTTCCCTTGTTTCTTAATTTTGTGGTATATACAATGACTTCTTGATTACATTCTACCCTCCTTCTCCCTTCATTCATCTACCTCTCACCCCTTGGCTCTACCTTCTCTCTTGTATGTGCTGGTGCTAATTTTGGTGGCTTTGACCCATTGTGACAAAACTTCCTCACATCCCCTAAGTCTTTGCCTTCTCAGCAAAGAACAACTGTGACCACTCTTTCTTAGTTACAACTTATTCCCCCACCCTGCTCTTCATATCTCCTCCCCATTTCCTTTCTTCCTAGTGCTTCTTATCAGACGGTAACAAACTAGAATTTAGTACTTGGAACTAAAGGCGTGACTCAAGTGGTAGAGCACCAGCTTGGAGCAAAACAGCAAGAGTACTAGACCTCAAGTTCAAGCCCCGGAACAATCTCAATCTCTCTCTCACTCTCTCTCTAACACACACACACACACACACACACACACACACACAGAGTGATTTAAGTACTTAAGGTGTTTATTGTTCAATATTTGCCCCTGCAGACTAGAATGTGAGCTCTCTGAGGGCAGAGTTCATTGCATTGTTTACTGATGCATTCTAACTGCCAACCAGCTCTGACACATGTAGCTTGTTCAGTTACTATGTTCTGAGTGAAGTGGAGAGAACCAGCAGTCTGAAAATGTTCTCTTCCGTGGATTTGGGGCTCCATAGGGATTTCAGGAAGCCTGTCCAGGTGCAGATTAGCAATGCTCCAGGTGACAGGGGAAGGCTGGCACAGTTTCCTGGGCTGGGGGAGGTAAGGTGTGTATTTATGTGTTCTGCTGATTGGCTGAGACATCACTGCATCTGTGCAATACTGGGGCACTTTAACATGGTCTTTAACAACATCTGGGCCCATCTTGAAATAAATGTCCTCAGAGCAGGAAGCTGTTGGCAGATGCCATGTTTGGCTTACTCACGCAATCTGCCTTAAATGAAGTCAAGTGTTTAGCACTGTGGCCAGCACAGTTTCCACAAAGGTCAGTTGTTAGTTACTCTCATTGTCTATCTGCTTGAGAGAGAAAGGAAGTCCCACCTCTGCCTTGAGCTTTGCATCCAGTTTTTCCAAAGCAGCTCTCTCCCTGCCTCCTGCCTCTGGAGCAGTGCTTGGGTTCAGCCATCCAGTTCTGTCCAGGAAGCCTCCTAGCTGAAATGCGGTGATGCATACCTCCCTGCCCGTCTGCTGAGGATGCGCAGCTTTGCCAGGGGAGACGTGTACAGTCAGAAAGCAGAGCTGAGATGAACATTGCCTCTTTCAGAGCCCCAGGGGACCATTGAGCTTGTCACTCCCTGGTTCAATGGCCTTGCCACAGGCTCAGGAACAAAAGGGAAAGTGGGCCAATTTCTTTAGCATCTATCTGTTTCACCACTCAAAAACATCCCTCACTCAGACACCTCTAGGTACCAGAGCAGCGGCTCAGTAACCCAACCAATGTGCCATTCCTTTTCCTAACTGCCTGGTCCATGCATTGCCACCAGTTCTGCTCTGGGGCAACAAGAGTACCAGCAGCACGAGACAGTACAGTTTCCATGATGTTTCCTATTGAATACAAGTTTTGCTAGTTTGACTTGAAATAACATATTTGTACCTTTGTTCTTCAAAATCTTTACAGGGGCTTCACCAGACTAGATTCAGGGCCTGGCAGATCTCTGCCTCTTCTTCTTTATCTTCTTCCTTCTCCTTTTAATCTTTCTCCTCTTCCCCTTCTTTTAAGGTACTGCGGATAGGACTCAGCCCCTCTTGCTTGTAAGGCTGTCACTCTTACTATTGAGCCAAACCCCCAGTCCTGTTTTTGTTGCTAGATATTTTCAAGATAGCCTTCCTGCCCTGGTGTTCCCCTGAGAGCAATTTGCCTATTTTAGGCTTCCTGTCCTAGTTAGGAAGACAAGAATGTCATTGAGAATGAATCTCTTGAACTTTTCTGTCTGGGCTAGCCTCGGACCAAGATCCTCCCAATTGAAGCCTCCCAAGTAGCTAGAATTAGCTACTTGTATAAGCCCCTAACTCTCTTGCTCCTTATTATTCTTTTAGTGTTTTTATAGCCTTTGATGATGATCTCTGTCTGTCTGTCTATCTATCTATCTTCTAGAAGATTATTAATCTTACTAAACTCGTAAAATAACTTGCTTTGATAATTTTCTCTACAATGAGTCTATTTTCTAGTTGAGTTTTGTTCTTTCTTCTATTATTTCTACCTATTCTTTATTTGAAGTTTAATTTGCTTTCTTCTTTCTGAGTTCTTAAGGTAGAAGCTTAGATTATTTTTAGGTTATTGATTTTTAAATCTTTCTCCTCTTCTAATATTAGTACATAGAGCTATAAACTTCTCTTGAAGCATCATTGTAATTGTACCCCATATTTTTTTGTACGT